GTCCCGGTCGCCCCCCGCTCCCCTGTGCCGCTGTCACCCGTGTCCCCTGTGTCCCCTCTGCCGCTGTCACCCGTGTCCCCTGTGCCCATGTCCCCCCGCTCACCCATGCCGCTGTCACCCCTGTCCCCTATGCCACTGTCAACCGTGTCCCCCCTACTGCTGTCACCCCACTCCCCCGTCCCACTGTCACTCCTGTCCCCTGTGCTGCTGTCACCCATGTCCCCCGTGCCCATGTCCTCCCACTCACCTGTGCCCATGTCCCCCTGCTCATCCGTGCCACTGTCACCCCTGTCCCCTCTACCACCAGTCACCCCGGTCCCCCATGCCGCTGTCACCCATGTCCTCCCTGTGGCCCCATGTCCCCCATGTTCCCTGTGACCCCCCACATTCACCCCACTGTGCCTTCCGTTTCCACCCACATCCCATCACGTTTCCCTGTGTCCCACTGTGCCCCTTGTCCCTGCCGTGTCCTCCATGCTCTCTGTTCCACCATGTCGCTCTGTGTCTCACAATGTCCCCCTCCCTGTCCCCCTCCACGTCCTGCTGGGCAGCCCAGCCCCTCGCATCTGCAGGCTAGGGGGGGCGGGGGGGGACAGACGTGAGAGAGCTAAATAAAAGGAGTTTCTTTGCAGCTCCATCCATTTCAATGGTGCAGCTTTCCCAAGCCCCTTGGACAGTGGGGGCAAAAACAGTCCCAGGCTCTGACGGGCGGGAGCCCCAGGAGCGGACAATCCTGTGCTCAGGATCCCCATCACCAGGAGGGTCCATCCCTGCTGGCCACGCTGCCCTCGGCAGAGGGAGGCGGTGGCACTGGGCAGAGTCTGGCAACAGAAGCCCTCTGTAGCGCTGGACAGTAAAACCACCCCATGGGCTCGGTGCACGCCAAACAGCCTGCTGGGACCCCAAATCTGGGGAGGTGCAGTGCCTCCCACCAGAAGCATTGGGGCTGCGTGGGAAAAGGACCTGGACAACCAACCCCCTCCAACAGCCATTGCCGAAATGGCGCCAAAAAATGGCTTTCTCTGTCTCCCGCCCTGCCCGTGGCACGGCCGGGCAGTGATGCTCTCCACGTGCTACGTGCTGGAAAGTTTGTGCCGGGGAAGTGGTGCGTACCGGGACCGGGGCTATTCCTGGCTCCCAGCTGGTGTTTGGCCGAAGCGGGCTCTTGTTTTCAGCCTGGCTGTAATTTTAGCAAAGGCTGTTCCTGAGCAGCGGGGCTGCGGTCGGCGCAGCTGCCCGGGGAGAGCACTGGCTCAGCTGGGGACCAGCGATGCGTGTCCGCACCCCCCTGCCCACGGCCGGCCCAGGCTGCCCGGCCAAAAGTGCCCCAAAACATGGCAGAAATGCCTAAACCCAACACTGTTCCCTCATCGGGGCTGCAGAGGAAGATGAAAGGCAGCGGCTCTGCTGCGGCTGCGGCTAGTGGCCTTTGCTCCGGGTGGGAAAGCTGCTGGTGAGGGTGGCACTGGCCGGGGTGCAGGATGCAGCCCTGGGGTGCGCCCCATGTTCCCCTCCAGTCTCCCCCTGCTCTGATGGCCAAAGCCGGGGCGCTGGCACCGCTCACCCCAGCAGGCCATGGAGGGGCAGAAAACCAAATTTGGCTTGAAGTTCTCCCTAACCGGTTCAGCCAAACCCCTCGGTTCCCTCCTGAGGGCCCGGTGGGGACCGCGGCAGCAGCCCCCATGACACCCATCAGCCACCGCTGCCACCACCTCGCTGTCACCCTGCCACCAACAACCCCCAGCTAGAAATTTCTTAACATTGAGCTAAAAAACACCATCTTGGGAGACCTAACGAGGGCTGAAGCTCAATGACCATATTTCTTCAAACGGGCAGCACCAGCCCTGCGACAAAACCTCTCCATCAGCACACCTGCCTGGGGAGATGCAGCTGTTTACAGCGAGTACGAGCAGAAAACAAGGTTTTCTTGGTCCCCAGACCAGGGCTGAAGCTCTGCTGGGAGGTTTATTTTATTATCACGCTAAACTTGAGATGATAAATATTTTGAAGCAGCTGAAAGGTGTTTATTTTTGAGTCGGTTCAGCTTGTTTACAACCTGTTTACAAGCCCGGGCATTTATCTTTGGGGCTGTTTACCTCTCGGCAGGCTGTGGCTGGGGTTTAATACACACATAAATAAAACCTGGGTGAGGGGTCCGGCCGCCCCTCCCGGTGCCTTCCTGCCGGCTGCCAGCTGCGTACCGCGGCGGTTGCTGTTTTGACAGAGCTATGCAAATGCTCTCCTCTTCGCAAGTGGGTTTGATCGCTCAGGTCGTGTTTTCGACCCTGCCAGCCTCAAACATTGATTTATTTCATTTAATTCCCTTTCAATTGCAGGGTGATAAACTTTGGCCTTGGGCACTGTGGGCTGTCCCCAGCTCGGGGTTTGACCCGGGGCTGCCTGGGGGGTGTTTCATAGTATTTTATAATTCATAACCTGTCTTTTATAACTTATAACCTACGTTCTATTCATTCATAACCTATATTTTATTTCCCAGATTCGGGGAAACCTGCCCAATATCGTGGGAGGCTGGAAGCTGCCCCTCGTGTCTTGTGGCAGGTGGGACATGGACAAGCCCAACTACGGGGCTGCCTGGCCGCAGGCAGGGACTATTAGCTTAATTCAGTTAATGAGAGGGGATTTGGGGTGACCCGGCAGTGTGGTGGTGGCAGGACCTGCCGAGGGGCTGGCGTGGCGGTGGCACAGGGGGACAAGGCCATGACCTGATCAGTGTCAAGGTCAGCCCTGGCCCCAAACCCTCTGTGTGTGGGGTCAGCGGTGCCCAGCCTGGGGGGGGACTGGATGCACTGGGATCGCTGGGGAGGGTGTGCACGAGTGTGTGCGTGCACGTAGCTGTGCATGTTGCATGTATGTGTGTGTGCAAGTGTGCGCACACTCGTGTGTGCAAGTGTGTTCGTGTGTGTGCATATGTGTGCGTACGTTTGCAAGCGTGTGCACGTGCAGCAGCTGGGACACCCCACACCGGGACAGGGACCCCTCTGCCGGGTGAGACCCCGCTGGGGAGGGCCCCCCCAGGGGCCCG